TATATATATATATACTCGTTATTATATATACATTAAAAAAGGTAAATCTCTCGGAAGAAAATAAGTACACATTTGCAAGCAAAAACTTCATTATACTTTATGTACTGTACTATTAACTAAAAAAAATTTTGAAGAGTATATCTCAAAAGATTTCCATGAATTATCTTTCATACGTTCATCAACCGTATCCGTTTATCCTTTGTCATCATATCACTGCACACAATCTCGATGTTATTTTTCGACGGATATGCAATACAAGCGAGCATATGTTATGTTAAACAAATGAGAGATGCAATGTCTTCCGAATGTTTTCTCGTGTATGTAGAAATTCTTCTATTCTCTTTCTCTGGGATTTAAACTATTGTTACTGCTAATATTTTTGTTCTCACAAGCGCAGTCACGCGTGTACTCGTGTGTAACAATTATTTTTTGTCGTATACTGTAGGAATTCTTCTATTTTCTCTCTCGTGTAAAAACTGTTTTTGTTGCTAATACTTTTGTTCCTACAAAAAGCAAAGTGTACAGACCCAAACCAGACTATGCACGCGAAAGAACGATAATGACTGTTGAAGGATGCTAATTGAATTAAATGAAAGCTTTCGTTTATTAACGGCTAATCTGAGATGCGCTTTTCATTAATCGTGTCACTTTAAATCGAGTAGCTTGCTTATTGTATGCATGGAAACCACTTTGGTTACGTGAATGAGTACTCCAAATTTTCCCATTTTTTCCAACAATAAATTTTATAATTATATGATATAATACTTGGCAACGATTTTATGCGCAAAAAGAAATAATATCTAATCAACTGTCGAGTTAATGGCTAATCGGATATTATTGAAACAATTTGAGTTTGTGATAATTACCAATCGCGGAAATTTTTCACGCTCTAAATATCTAAATGTACACATATTTGTTTAATACGCAGCACACATCGAAGCTGGAAGGCTCAGTTGTTTTCCAAATATAGACCAAATATAGTGAACCACAAAACGCAATTACAGGGTAATGAATCTGGGCATAATCGTGATAGTTACAATTCCGTGGAAACGGTAAAAGTACCAAAACCGTAGACAGTTTAAAAAACCGCGTTGCTAAATTGTGTACATAATACTTTTAACGCCGTTTGGAGAAAAGACAGAAATTCTGGGAATGTTAACGAGAACAATAATATCCTGAGAAATTTCATAGACTTTGGTAAAATTACTTTCTAAGCACACGATAAAAAATAAAAATTATACGAGTTTTGAAACTTATTCAAACATCTATAAATAATACGTACTGAAAACAAATTATATTTCTTTAATATAATAACATTTTAAAAGCTCAAAAAGATATTTTTTTATTTGCTTTTGGTTACACATTACGATATTGGTAATAAAATCTGTACTGCAAATGTATTAAATTTAGTAAATTTATATCTCAATAAATTTTTACCGTAGCGCGGTAGGCGAAATATCGAGCAGCATTGAGAGATTTAGTCCTTGCTTCCCTTAAAATATGCAAGAGAGCCGTCTCTCTCTCTCTCTCTCTCTAATTAACTTAAGTCGCGAGCGCAAAAAATTCGTTTGCATTATGCATTCACGTCCATGTAATACTTCAATACTTTAATTACTTGGCAGCGATGTCGTTATTGCCGCGTATAATTCCGGCGTCCTCGCTGAAGATGAAAATCCTCGTGGGTCCGCGGTACCACTTGATGCTGTGCAGACCTTCACATTGCGGTGATTTGAGGACGCAGGGTAGCTGAGCCTCCTCATCGAGTTCGACGTACTTTTCGCTTTTCAGCCACGGTTCGCCGCTACCTGAAAACATACACGCGCAGATTTAATGGCAAAATCTTTCGCAAAATTGGGTTCGCAATCGAGGCTCTAAATATCGATAATGCTCTCGACGAAAACGTAATCAGCGAATAAATTGTTTTATCGCGCGATTCCGAGGATACACGCGATCGTATTAAAAAGCTTTCATAATCTTATATTTCGTGTACCGTAAACTTTAAGATTCTGCGAATTATTATATTAATTCTTATAATATTTATTATATTTTTTCCCTTCCCCTTTTCTGCTAAGCATTTATTTTTTTTTGGAAAATGTTACTGTTGGAAGTTTTGCGAAAAGGAAAATAATCAACACATTAATTGATAATTAATATCCTAAAAAGGAAAGCGAAATTTGTGGTTTCAGTGGAGATATACACAATAAATCGCTTCGAGTAAGAATTGGATACTGAAACTATATAGTGCAGCATTGTGTAAATATTACATCTAATGTAAGTGGGGAGTAATGGAGAATGTCGGGGAGAATCGCATTACGGTTTCTTCTTCGATTCTCTCTCGCATGTGTGTGAAGTTTGTTTAACCGCTCTCAGCTCGGGTATTACAGAATGACTTTTCGTTTACCCTGCCTTGAAATGTTTCCTGGAAAGGGGAAAATCATCTCCGCACTTTGCACAAAAGTTATAAAGAACGCGGATTGTACTTTTTTTCTCGAAATACATTCCCAATATTAACCGTGACTTTTGCAGTTGCTGTTAACGTTGTCGACATACCGGATTGAATCGTAAAAACGTTGCGAGAGAAAAATGTCGCGTTTTACATTAGCGATATTACGCTACGTAGTCTCGGGTTCTCAGGCTAACACCGTTGTAATATGAGAAAGTAATCATGATGACATAAAAGAAGAATAAGGTCCATTTTTTGCTCTTTAATCCTCAAAAGGATTATCTAGCATACAATATGTATATTTTTCATAAGAATTTTTATATATTATTCATTATTTCTTATCAATATATACATTCTTTTTACTCTTTCTCTCACTTTCTTTTCTATAAAAATATTTCCATGGATCTAATACGGAAAGATTTAAGTGGTAACATGTAAATTGAAAAAAAAAAACAATAAATATATTTAAGCAAAGAGGAAAGAAGAAAAAATAAAGACAGAGATACTCTTCTCTCCTCTATTTCTTTTTCTTCTTTCTTTATATCTATCAAATCATAAATCATCTCTGTTACTGCAGGAGAGAAATATCCGTGCATGATCGTAAGCAAGAATATAATTTAAAGTACTATCGTGCATGTGACTGGAACTAAGATTGTTCTGCTCTAATTCATTTTTGATGATTGAAAATGAACGCGGAAAATAAATACACATTCGCGTATTAATTAACCGATTAATTAACGGACATCGAAAAAGTTTTTTGTGAGGAGGACACTAATGGGATGATATATGCCAAATGTGTATCCGTTTTAGCTATTAGTTCATGTTACTTCTGAAAAATGCACACGGGTTTTCGAGACAGATACGTGTCATCCGGCAAAAGTATAGACTTGATTATTACCAAAGGAAAAATATTTACGACGTACCACAAGAGTTACGTCCAACGACAGGAGTCCACTAACGAGCTTTAAAGTAAAGAACTACAATTTAACATCTTAAATAAGAACGAAAATAACTCGGCAAACTTCTTGTTAGAGACATTTTTTTTTCTAACCGCGAACAGACTTCCTTTGTTTACCGACCTGTCATATCGTCTGTTTACTACTGATTCTACAATATGTCGATATCTGAAATTATGAAATCGCCACTACTCATCTTTCGTCGTTGTATTTTTCACTATGTTTTCTTTTTTCTCAAAATTATCGTGCCCGTCAAAAATAAACAAACAAACAGATATTTCCGCTATCTTACAATAGGTAGCGAGGAAGAGATACGGGATAACACATTCATAATAACTTTTCATAACAGCCGATGCTCACGAGATCGAGAGAACGTACGCCGTATTCCAACATGGAAGAATTACGATTTATGGGCTCTACACGAATATCTACAAACAGTGATTTATCGGTCGGACACGGATATGTCCATCACTGTCGATTGAATTTCTGCGGCCTTAGTATAGTTTAAGTGATTTTGGCTTTATGTATTCAGCTGCCGGGATTCATTGAAAAATCGACTGGAAATTTGCACCAGATTAATCGTACGTATCTGCATCATTTATATTCTATTTTTATCTCGCTACAGGGATTCTAGCAAAACTTTTTGCATTAACGTACGCGAAGCGGCTGAGCAAATTTATGAATATTACATAGAATGATTGAACTTCTCTTCACGATTACGTGATATCGGATTAGAAAAAAAAAAAATGAAAAAACGAGAAAATGAAACAGGGAAATTAAAAGGACGTAATTTGAGTTCGCTTTCAAATCTATAATTCGCAATAAAACTCAGGAATTTTATTTATAATTTTATATATTGCGTATATTTTAACATATATGTGTAACCTTGAATGTATTTTGTATATATATGAATTTTGCCACAAAATTATTTCTGTGTTACATTTATAAAATTATAAATGGAACTTTGTCCCAAATTTTGTGGCAGATTAATTTTAAATAGTAAAAATTTAATTTGGAATTTAATAATTGTATGAAACAAATATAGTTATTGTGAAAGAACATATTTGCGCATGCTGTTAATAATAAATATTTTCGTGAGAGCCTTTATTTTATATATAATAAATATTGTATCTTGAATTTTACCACCTCTATGAATATTTTAAAATATGATTGTGGATTTTACAAATAATTTTTCATTTGTTTAAAATTGAATGCTGCAAATAAATATTAAAAGAGTCAATTTGTCGGAAATGTTGTTCTAATACAACATTTCTAAATCTTTATCAAAGTACGGCAATATTTATACGCTGAAAAAGCATTTTGATGCCGAGAAAATAGTTGGTTGAAACGCTTGTCGAGCATTAGTCGTATTTAACGCTACTGATAATTAGTAGCACGTTCGTAGTTAAATTTTGCCACGTATGCATAAAGTTTTTACTCGCACAGAAACGGGCTGTAACAATGGTAATTATTACACTTGATGGTACTCGCAGTTTCCCGTCGGTTTTCGTCGACCGAAACTTCTTGCATGAAGAAAACCATACAAGTACGATATTGCAAAATATTACACATGCACTTCATCGTCTTTGTTAAGTGTAACGGTTTGCTAACTAAATAGAGTTGTTAATGTACACTCCCTTATTGAGCACATTTAATAGAATCTTTAATCTCAATTTTGGTGAAAAATTTTTCACAAAGATAAAAAAACGGTAATATTTGAAGTAAAAGGTAAAACTTGTAAATATATTTTTACTGCGTTATAGTTCTGTTAAAGCTTGAAAAAACTATTAAAAAAATAGCGGAAATTATATCGAGTGATTATATATTGATACGTCAAATTAGACAAATAAGATATAAATTTCTTTCCAGAATTTATTTTGCCATATTCTGCAACGAGATATAACGAATAAAAGACGGGAGAATTTATTTTTCCAAGTTTTTATTTTATTTTAGATATTTTTCCTCGACAGGAAATGTCATGTTTGTTCTAAGAGTACAATTCGCCAGATATATAATAAATTCCGCGCGTTAGAAAGAAATTTTTCCATTTCCGATATCATACGTATATACGATAATCTGACGTTATATCGACCATTTTCTATTTCGTGTCAACTATTGAATAACTGCGAATCAGTTTGTATGTAATTACATCGATTATCGTGGCATCTTAACGCTTCAGCAGCCGCGCTTAATGCCATTAATGCTATGTTTCATGATTGAAGTCACCAACCATTGAAATTCATCCGGTTGGAATTGATATCCTATTTTGACGATATCCTATTTTGATATCTCTATTTTGATATCCTATTTGTTCAATCGTCGCGCATGCGATTATGGAAGATTATACGTCAAAGCCGAGTTTGCAACTATTCCGATTTTCTATTCAAAAAAAAAAAAAAAAAAAAAAAATTCAAACTCAATTCTGCAGATGGAGAGAAGTATGGGTATTCGCCGGGAGACTTTGCTCGACGTACGGTTACTCGTACGGCGAGTTTACAATCCAAAAGTCCATGAAATTGGTGGCGTTTCGAGATGTCGACGTGGCTCCGGAGACATTAAAATGTAAAGTGAGTACTATACTTTGGAATGAGCGCCGTTGCGGAAGAGCACGTGCAGATAACGACGTTCTATCGCGGAGGCGGAAAAAGTTATCGACCTCGGATGCTCCGACGCGTGCTTAACCCATTTCGAAATTATACAAATTGCAGCTTGCATTAGCATGGAGCCGAGGAGAACAGAGTAGGCCGAGATGGGTGGATGGGAATTAACCGAGATGTGGAGATTTAGCGTCATGACAAACAAGCGATGCGCGTATAAATATCGGAATCGGGAGAAATTTATGACGCATATTGTACAAACGTCGTTGCATTTAAATAAGATACCCGAAACGTGGATCTGATTGACGAATATCCGATATGCAATCGCAACGTATCTTGGTTCCAAAGAAAAATGTCGATAATAATGTAATTTGATCCGCAGTAAGATATATAAAAAGAATTTAAAAAATATTTTTTTTAATTAAATTAATTGCAAGTAGTGACGTATATAATGCAATATCTGGCTAGATACCATTTTTTTTTTTCACAACGGATTGCACATTTCCCTCCCGCATCCTGCATTCCATTTTGGTTTGTCGAATCCTTTATACCAGGTTTGCGCATTACTTTAGGAACGTGTGAAACGTGATGTGTTAATAGAGAGATGTTAAATAATAGTATTAAGCAAAAACGGAGAACCATATCTGCGTAATGACAAGTAATGCTAAATCATCGCTTGGAATCCATAAAAAGATCATATTTCATATACGTGATCTCGTAACTTTCGACATTAGTGAAATTAATAATGATTTAAAATATTCGAAAAATGATTAAGAGAGAGATAGTTTCTACAATTAAATTATTTCGCG